CCCCATTTAGACCATCATTTTGCGATCGCAATTGCGATCACAAAAAGATCATCGTAAAGCGGATTCGTCATAATGCGGGGCAATCGTAAAGCGAGGCACCACTGTATATCCAGTAAGAGACACAATTTTAAAGAACCATTCGTTGTAAGGGGACAAATCTCTATTCCAATGTGGCTCTTAATTTTCTGCCTTTTCTTTTGGAGCACTCAAACACAAACACACACAAGAAGACATAAGTAGCAGATACAATTTTCTAAATGAATAAAATAGAAGTAGTTACTTCAGTAGCTCATCAGGCTTTTAAGTGGAACGATGGTGCACAAGATGAAGCCTGTTACTGTGTGATCTCTTGATTTTTTAATTTTTATTTTCTTTTTTTGGAGGCAGTAACCCTCTGGGCCCTGTGTTAAATGCCCTCCTCAACATTTCCTGTGTTAAATGCCCTCCTCAACATTTCCTAGGAACAGTTAGGTCAGAACAAATTTACAGAACAATTATAAAATCAATTGTCTGCCCAGTAGAAGAGTTTTGGGGATTGATATCTGCTGTCATTGTGAAACTCTCCAAATGCAAAGATCTCCAGAACAGTCTCTGTGGATAGAAGTATGCAGGACAGGAGTTTCTCAACATGTTCAGACACTTGGGGTTTAAACTGGGCAGAAATATGAAGGCTACTGACACAAATTTGTATATCAAATAAATACAATATTTGACGTTGAAAGGCTGTTCTTTAAATATGTCCTATAATCATTGGGGTAATTTTGTGGATATCTTTTAATCATTTACAGAAATGCACTAATAGAGGGAATGACAACAAGAAAATGACAGATTTCATTTTGTAATATTTTCTTTCCCTTTGCCTTATGGCTCATTACAGCACTAGACCACATTCCAAGCCTGGGGGTAAATCTACAGGCTTGGCTTCAGACCTTCATATTAACCATGCAAAAGTGTTAGTGACTTTCAGGTGAGTCAAGGATGCAGGGATGGAGCTTAAAATGCATCCCGTGTCCCCCACCAGCCTTTTAAGCCCTCTCTGTAGTTTCAAATGTAATGCCTGAACAGGGCCAGGTCTACATAAACTCTAGGTTTCACAGTAAAATTGTAACATGTGGACCACCAACTGCACCTCGGGGGGGGGGGGNNNCCGCCCGGGGGGGGGGGGGGGGACAAGGAACTTGCAAAAAGGCTTTTCCAGCCAGCCTAAGTGGATGGAGAGGATTGTAGGGGATCCGTCAGATTTACCATGATTAAAACTTACACTAAAATCTGGGTGAAGGTAAGATTGGGCCTCACTCTTGCTTTTTTTGCTTGAAGATATGGAAGATAAAAGATTGCCACTATTACGCTTGCTGGCAGAAGTTAAATCATCACTCACGAATTTGTGTTTTGATGCATCAGAGAGAGGTGTGGCAGGTGACGGGAGTATTTTCTCATTGTTGTTTATTGGTGTTGTCAAGCTGGAAATGGAAATTATAGAAACTCACAAACGGCAGTTCTGAGAAAATATTATTATTTGTCTATATTATGAACACCCTCAGTTTCAACTTACTGGCCTAATAAACTCTACGGACTATTATTACATTTGGAAACAACTTTATACCATGGGGACCAAGAGCTGGTTTAAGTAATGCTTCCCTCTTTTCCCTTTAAGTAAGCTGAAATGCAATGGTTAAAATCTACCTAAAATACATACAACGCGTATGAGGATTTGCTCACTATCTTTCTCATGTGTCAAAAAAGCCATGTGTCAACTAAAAAAGAAATGCCCTCATAGGTAGCTAGAATTTCTCTGAAACTTGTGACCAAGCCTTCACAGCACTGTTAGTTTTAATTTGCTGAAGACCCAAGGAGAGAGCAATATATGCTACTATAGCTGACAAAAAGAGCAGGAAAAGGGAAACTGAAAAATGAACATATTAGTTGAATTCCTGTTGAGTAGCTACATGGGCATAATGTGACATTGCACCCATGGAAACTGCAATTGCACCAAGGAAGTATTTGTCACAAAGAAGCTCAGCCCAAATGCACAGTTGGTTCTGACAAGAACTGTGTGACCAATTGCACCACTGGTGCAGTGACATATAGGATTTTGGCCAATATATTCTAAGTGTGAGACTTATTTGTTAAAAAACAAAACACAATGTAAACATGCCTGTCCCCTAGAGTGCGTGGGTACTTGTCATGCCTATAGCCAAGCTAGGAACAGTTAGGTCATTCTTAATGTTTGCCTTAATGTGTGATCTAGCCAGCCCAAAACATTTACAGAAGGAAAGACTGCATAACAGCACAATGCCCTTTGATTGGCAGTTCTAGGAACTGTCCAAATGGAAGCTCCCTTACTTTTATTAGGCTGTTGTTGAACACAAAGCACTTCATGCAATGCAGAGATAAACCAAATCATTTTATTTTTAGTATTATAGTAGCACCAGCCCTGGTCCAGTATCTTTCCCTGTGTGTGTGTGTAACACAATGGGAAGACAACTTTGATGTGGGTACAGTAGCTATGTAGATACTTAATCATTCTTCACAACAGATACCATTTACAAAAGGAGGAAAAATGGAAACCTGCTTTGCAAAATGTAAAACTGCAGATTGTGGCTGCCTCTTTATTCACCTTGATCCAAATTCTCTTATGGACTATAACCCATAAAAGTCTTCTAAATTATGAGTTGTAGCACTTCCAGATTTTAAAGACTAATAAGATAAATTAATGAACACATTGAGAGAATCTGTTCAATTAACTAAAATAGTCCTATAAAACGAAGTATAATTGTTCCACTTTTTTCCGGATGGCATTAAACACATATTGTGCTCTATTGCACCTATAAAGAAATGTGAAATACCCATAAAACATAATAGTATACATAAAAAAACATTATGGGAGGCTAAGATGGAGGATAAGACATAATGCTATCTCCTAAGTTTAGTTCTGAACACTCCCCGCCCCCCCCCCGGGTTGATTTCCATATTGATAGGCTTTAAATTTTGAAGCTGTAAAAAGAATTGCTTCACACATACAAGCATAACGTCAGCTAAACAGATTCTTCAAGTATCTCAGAGAAGTACCTCTATCATGAGAAAATTCATTTTCCCTGCACTCAAATTATAATATATTTCATGGGGAATTGCAAATCTCCCCCCGCTGCTAACATATCAATTTAGATAGCTCAATTAGGACTGTAGTTATGCAGTATCACAGCTGAGCTAGCTGTTCTCTAGTGGCCATGGCGCCACAAGTGACAGCAAACACAATTATTTTGTCCCATCCAATCATAATTTTGTGACCTTTTCTTAATGTACACACATTGTGCAGGTGCAAAATGCACAGCAGCTCAAATGTACATGGATGATTATCATCTATATGAGTAGAGGTCCAAAGGCCTGGGGGAAGACCTGCGGTCTTTGGGGGAGCAGGCCATATAAAGAGCTTGGGATGAGACAAGCCCTGGAATAATTCCAGTAAATTAGACTCCAAAACAATGGATGTCCTTGACTGACTAAATGGCAAGCACGCTAAAAAGGTGGCTGAAATGTTCAGGCCATTGGCCCAGCCAGCCCATAGAAGATCAGACTGACTGCCCAGGACCTCAGCTGGAACTCTTTCCTATCACCTACTGCCTGGTACGTTTAGCTGGAAAAATCAGGATCTACCACTGAGCTATGGGCACTTCTTCCACACCAATGCTACTGAACTCTTCAGGTTCTCTAAAGGCCATGATAGGCAAAATATGGCCCTTGGCTTTCCCAAGGCTGTTTTTGTGGCCCCAGCCTCCCACAGCCCCTTCTTTTTCTACCCAATGAGTATGAAGTGCTGCTGCTAGAAGGCTTTGGGGCCACCACAACACTTCCAGAAAGGACCAAAGTCACTTTGCAATGACTTCAGTCATTTCACATCATGCAAGCCCTGATCCAGTTTTAAAAAGGGAACATTGGTACCATTTTTCAACCGGGCCAGGGCTTCTGTTGCAGTCAGCCCGTGCTGGGAGGTTTCCAAGCTACTAACGGTGCCAGGGATGGGGCTCATCATGCAGCAAAACCAGACTTGCTGGTGCTGCCCCTGAGGTATAAACAACACCACTGCCCAGCCAGTGCCGTGGAGGCTTTCTGGACACCTGGGCATTGGCTGGCTGGCAATGCTGTTTTTGCTATGGTAGTAGCAACGCCAATGACTTCTTTTTCCTCCCATGGCAATGGGGCGAGGTTGCCCGAACACTGGCACTCTCAGAACTGGCAGGACGCCTCCTAGTACTGGCGAGCCTGCGGGGTGGGGACTGCCCCACATCCTGCTTTAATGCAAGGCTTCATGCCTAGTTTCAGAAAACTTGTATTTAAAAACCTACTGCAGGCTATCCGAAACATGTAGTTCCTGTCCAGGTGCGGCAGTTCATCTTCTGAAAAGGTCACAGAGCCTCACCCGAGTACTATCCTCCTAGTATCACGTTTTGTTTAGTCATTTAGTCGTGTCCGACTCTTCGTGACCCCATGGACCAGAGCACGCCAGGCCCTCCTATCTTACACTGCCTCGTGGAGTTGGGTCAAATTCATGTTGGTTGCTTCGATGACACTGTCCAACCATCTCATCCTCTGTCGTCCCCTTCTCCTCTTGCCATCGCACTTTCCTAACATCAAGGTTTTTTCCAAGGAGTCTTCTCTTCTCATGAGATGGCCAAAGTACTGGAGCCTCAGCTTCAGGATCTGTCCTTCCAGTGAGCACTCAGGGTTGATTTCCTTTAGAATTGATAGGTTTGTTCTCCTTGCAGTCCAGGGGATTCTCAAGAGCCTCCTCCAGCACCACAATTCAAAGGCATCAATTCTTCGGCGGTCTGCTTTCTTTATGGTCCAGCTCTCACTTCCATACATCACAACAGGAAAAACCATAGCTTTGACTAGTATCACACAAAACCTATTTTTAAACATTGGCAGTTGATTTCTAGCAATATTGGCTTTATTGATTGATTGGTTGTTGGTTGGTTGATTGATTGTATTTTAGACAGTCAGTATGGCCTCCAAAAGCCTTTGACTATGTGGAGCACAGCAAACTATGGCAAGTCCTTAAAGAAATGGGAGTGCCTGACCACCTTATCTATCTCCTGAGAAACCTATACGTGAGACAGGAAGCAACAGTTAGAACTGGATATGGAACAACTGATCGGTTCAAAATTGGGAAAGGAGTACGACAAGGCTGTATATTGTCCCCATGCTTATTCAACTTATATGCAGAATACATCATGCGGGGAGCCATTTTGCACAGCGGGCGGCCATTTCGAAACCCGACAATCAGCTGTTTTTAGATCGTCGTAATGCGAAGAATCGGTTCCCGAAGCAGGGGACCGATTGTCTTTAAGCAAATTTTCCCCATAGGAATATCGTTTTGCGGTCGCAATAGCGATCACAAAAAAACCATCATAAAGTGGATTCGTTGTTTAATGAGGTAATCGTTAAGCGAGGCACCACTGTACTCACTTATAGAATATCATCCAGGTGGGCTGCTACTCTTAAAGCTGTACATTGCTCAGAAATCAAGTGCACCACCCAGAGATTTTGAGGAAGAAAAAAATAAATAAAATGACGAAAAGTGTGAAGATAGAATTGAGCAAACATTAAAGCAAGAGAGAAAGAGAAAGAACTTGTGGGTATGAATTATCTTAAATGGTATTGTAGCTGAAGACAAACCCAAGCTCAAATTTGTTCCGAGTCTAATGTTCCTATGTAATTAAAACGTATCATTTTTCACTCTGGTCACAATGACATTAAGACTATTTTTTAAAGTTGCCTGCTATGGATATGTGTATTTTAAAATTCTGTATCCTATTATATCCCAAAACTTCAGACCATGTGCAATTCTAAGCGATCAGTTTCATGGGCCCATTTTTGCTGCCAACATTTACAAATGCCATTGTTTTCCTGATTTCTTATATCATATAACAGGAGACAAACATTTTGGACAAAATCAAACAACTGTAACTACAGGTTAATACGTTTTGACCAAAATCCTACTAGTAGTCCCAATTAGAGCAGGCTTATTAAATCGGAACTACAGTAGACCTACGTGTTGACTCACCATTCAATAACTGAGTGAATGGATCTACTCTGGCTGGATTTGGCAGCAGGATTTTGGCCTATAACACATAAATAAGGCCAACAAGCAAGATTCCACCCCTTTAAATACCAAGTCTGTCTTTTACTCTGAATTTTAAAACTGATTTTGCTTTAACACTGAATGTTCAAAGGTGAATTTTATATAACATCTGAAACACATACCTGTTTTTTACCATGTTGCAATCATTTGGTGTGGAAATGATTTGGGCTGAGGCAAGGAAATGTGAAGAACACTGTTGCTCAGTGTGAATCTTCTTGCTCTCCCTGTTCTCATCCTCATTGTCATACTAAAGGAATGAAAAAAGCATTATAAACTGAATTCTCCAGAGTCACTGAACATTGTAGGGCTTGTATTTTATTTCAAGATAGAAATCTTAGTAGATGACACTGAACAGTTTAGTTAACTGCTAGTGAACTCAAAATGATTGTGTTGGAGGTGTCATTTAACAGGAAAATTGATGTTAAATTGCTATAAACAAGATTACTACATCCCAGAAACTGGGGTTCTAGCTCATGCGGAAAGACTACACAGATGCCTCCCCTTCTTCAGAGTGTCATTTTTTCCTGCTGAAAGTGAAGACTGGTGAAGGGGGGCATGGGCAGTGATAGCATGCACCCCTCAATATGTATGGACTCCACACACTTACCAAATGACTTTAAACACACAACATACTCTCTGAAATCCAGCAGTAAGTTACAACTAGATGAGGCTGATTGAATTAGAAGAGATTTAGTGAGTTAATAGCTCTATAAATCTGATAAGAATCAATGGGCCTACTGGAGTTATGATTTGCTGTTGAAATTCAACCAGTTAAGTTTAATTATACAAGAACATGTGTAAGACTATGGACATAACTATAACACAGTAAACACAGTAAGAATTAGTTTGTTTTTATGAAAGCCTTCCTTTCTACAAGCAGTAGAAATTGTAGTTTTTAGCTGCAGTGAGTTCAGATTTTTCTGTAAGACTTAGGATTCAGGTTGATTTTGTTTGATGCCTCTCTGGGGTTAAAAGATCATCAATTCTCCTACTCCCTTCGCCCTCAATTTATATAATTTTCACACATAAGTGTCTCTCTTTTACACACACACACACACAGAGAGAGAGAGAGAGAGAGAGAGAGAGAAAGAACTACTGAAGAAAATAATTTAAGAAGCTGAAACCTCTCTGATGTCCATATCTTCAAACCTAAATAATTAAAAATCCTACATATATGGTGTGATGAATCATAATGTGTGTTCGGAAGCCCAAATTGAGGAAATCAAACATCTGAAGTGTCATCTGTCACTGTGATTGCCAGGAAGAATTAGCCAGAATGCATTTCAAAGAGGATTGATCCATGGCTTTCCTGTTTATCTGGTGTAGAGGTTCCAGTAAAATCAGGATTCAAACTAAAGACATCACTAGGGAAGTCCTTCCTGTGTGAGGGTATGACAATTGGTAAGGAAGCAATCCACTAGCCTAGAGGTACCTGAAAGAATTAACAGTAATGAAAGGTGATTAAGGCACCTGTAACACAAAGCCTTTTGTTTCTGATAATGGGGTATTCTTGGCAAAGATACTGGAGTGGCTTGCTAATTCCTACTCCAGGTGGATTGTGTTTAGTCAGAACTCTCCACTATGACCTGTCCATCTTGGGTGTGGAAGACAGGAGGGCCTGGTGTGCTCTGATCAACTAAACGACTAAACAACAACAAACACAAAGCATTGTTTTGAATAAAGAGAGCCCGAGAGATTTAGGGAGGCAGGCAAAGGAGAGAATTCATGTAAGGACAAACTTCGATTCTCCGAGATGGTTTGTCTATACCTGAGGAGACCTGGTTCAGGTAACCGCACAGGTTAGGAATAAGTAAGAGAGCTAGGTTAGCTAGAACTTTCTTATTTTCTAAGTGTGTGCCTTCTTTAAGAATATCCAAGAATGATTTTGTAATTTCCTGTAAATTTGTTTCATTTTACCAAGGATGTTTTGAATTACTTTCACCTTTTTGTTTTTTTGTAACCATTTTATTCTTTTTTAAAAATTGTTTTCTTTTTAATAAAATACATAAAATCATATCCAGGTGTTCATTAGATTTTGAATACAGAGGAAATCTAGATGCTAGTAACGTCTAGTGTCTTGGTCTTGCTAGGCTATCAAGATGATGAGGCAAGGATGTCGGGATAGTGGCAGCTACACTGTGTGCATTGAAGAGGGGGGTTGCATGCCAGGGGGTGAAGAGAAAGAATCTGGATTGAGCTCAAAAGGTTCGCTTGCCCCTTGTGCATTCCTTGAGTCTCCTTGCCTTCAGATGGAATAGGGCAGAGGCATGAGGCCATCTGTCCGATAGCAAAAGTTTGGCAAAATTGGGTCATGAAACAGGACAAGGATCCCAAGCACTCCAGCAAATCTACAACAAAATGGCTGAGGAAAAAAGAAGAATTAAGGTGTTGCAATGGCCAAAACAAAGTCCAGACCTCAACCGGATTGAAATGCTTTGGCGGGACTTTCAGAGAGTTGTGCATAAACAAATGCCTGCAAACCTCAATGAACTGAAGCAATGTTGTAAAGAAGAGTGGTCCAAAATTCCTCCACAATGATGTGAAAGACTGATAAAGTCATTTAGAAAACAATTACTTCAAATTATTGCTGCTAATTGTGGTTCTACAAGCTACTGAGACATGATGTATACTTAGTTTTTCTCACACAGTTTCTCCATTTTGGCTTTATTTCTGAGACATAATGTGTACTTAGTTTTTCTCACACAGTTTCTACATTTTGGCTTTATTTTTGTAAAAGAAATAATGACATAGTGTAATTTCATGGGTTGTTGTTCATCTGAGGTTGCATTTACTATATTTTCAGACCTGCTAAGAACTGGATGATTTTTACTATGTTATTTTCAGAGCTGCTAAGAACTGGATGATTTTTACTATGTCCTGTCACTTAAAACCATAGAATTCAAAGAGTGTGTACTTACTTAAAACTATAGAATTCAAAGAGTGTGTACTTTCTTTTTCCCATGACTGTATGACACTTTGGTTGAATTTTTGAAGTCAATGTCCATTCCAGCACATGGATGGGGTCGTTCAGTTATCCTTCTAAATTAAAAAGTTTTTTTCTTTAAAAGTATCTTCTCCTTAGTTCTGTTCCACATGTATCAGCTTTGTTTTTCTCTACTTCTCCCTTGAGTTAATTTTTAACTTATTTTTAATGCTGATTACAGCAATTTCTGACACATCAAAGTCAAACCAGATTCTTAAAAAGAGCACATATTTCCTTTGATTTTCCTGTTTTTCTCCCTGAATAGGGGGATTTCTTCAGAAATATGGTATGTTAGTCATCAGATGTGCAAGTTAAGCTTATATACCTACCAATGACTTGTCAGAAAATGAAGCATGCTAGATACAAGACATGTAGGTGATGAAAAATACGGGTTTTTGCAAACAAGCATCTTTCATCACTTGCCAAAACATCTCTGTAAAAAGAGTGGTGAATATATCCTCTGGCTTGAATATCAGAGGATCTATGGAAAAGCTGCTGTGTTGTTTTCAGTATTGACGTTAGTCCAAGTGTTATCATTCTTAATGAGGCATTAGCTGAAATCCTGTTGCTTAGCACCGTGGGTTGCAACTAAAGTAGGCCCATTGAATCAGTGAGGATTTGGTGAGTCAATGGCCCAACTCTAATTGTGACTTGCTATGCTAAACAACAGGGTTTCAGCCATTGTGTCCATAGAACACTATATTGCTAGTATAATCCTTGCAGGCACTACAGATTGGACAGCCTCCTACCAGCACTCAACCCTGTCTCACAATCCCGGTGAGGAAAGATCTACCACAGCCTATTCATCCTATGGCAGCTCAATTTTTTTTCTTGCCAGATGAAACAAAGATATAGCTGATATGATGATTCATTCCTTGTTTTCTCTGGCACCAGCTAAAGTTGGGTAGGTAAAGATCAGGGAGCAAAAGCTGCTGACGGAGAGAAAAAGGAAGAGAAACAACCAATGTTTGGTGTAGTAGTCTGTCTTTTTTTATTATTTACTGAAAATCAAAAGAGCTCCTGAATCTACATGACTTCAGGTAGAGAGAAAAGGGAAGAGAAACAACCAATGTTTAGTGTAGTAGTCTGTCTTTTTTTTATTATTTACTGAAAATCTATAAGAGCTCCTGAATCTACATGACTTCAGGTGGGAGTAGATGGAATGGAATAGGACCGTTTCTCAGTTGTTTTAGCTATCTTGAAATCTTTCATTTCCTCTATGTTTTCAGGGCAAGGCACATTTGGGGGCAGAACTGGAACACAATTCAAGTACAAAGAGAGATTCTCCCACTTTTTCAGGAAACTGTCATATTAGCTCACATGGAGGAAACTTCAATGAGCCATTCAGTCCCTCGAATACTGGGGATAAATGTGTAAATTACCATGTGGCAACAGTTACCCAGTGTGGTACTTTATACTTTTGGATTAAACACCTGTTAAGAGGAGGAACAGAGATGGATGACAAGAAATGGAAGTCCATCTATTAGGAATATAACAAACAATACAAGATACCATTTGACATGAAACTTCCAAATTCTTTATGGGGAAGGTGGTCGAGCCCCTGTATACTCACAGAGGGCAAGGCCGAAGTCCAAACATGTATCTAAATACATATACACATATACCCCGTTTACATTCACACATGTACAATCAAACACATGCACATGCAGATGCACGCATCTCATTCTCACCCTCTCACACACCTTCATCTTTTGACCAATTAATGACATTATTCCCAACAGGGTGAGTGGAAAGGAAGCTCAATGGAAGAAGAATGGGCTTTGCATACAGAAGCCTAAAAGTTCCGCCTCCAAAATCTTCAGCCAAAAGGGATGTAATAAAGGATGTGAAAAAACTTCTACCTAAAGCCTAGGGAACCACGACCAGGACAGTATTAAACTAGATGGACAAATAATCTATCCTGGGCAAGAAAAGCCTGGTGTCAGACTTTTTTGGGGGGGTTACAAGTCCCAGCAGGAAGGCAACAGAATGTAAAAGAATTTGTAGGCTTTATTGGAGATACATGATGATATACGATGCTCTTCCACTCACACTGTCTTTTCACATACAGTCAAGATGGTTTTCTTCAGTGCTCTAAGCTGGAGTCAGCTAGTAACGCATTGTGATTCTTAGCAAAACTTCAGTGTATTGGGGATAGCAGCACCAAAGAATTTAGAAATTAAACAGCTCCTCCCCAAATTAATAGAGACCCACAGTATGATCTGTGGTTGGAAAAATAATGCCAGTACCTGTAGTTACTTTTTTCGGCTTATCTGCAGCTTTTTTTTTTAACTCACCCAGTTTAAAGTTATTTAGGGGTTTAATATTGTTATCAGTATTATTTGTTTGTGGAAAATCAAAGAGTTTTTCTGCCTCCGTTGTTGTGATTGATTCAATAAGTCTTCCAGCACATCAAGTCCTTTTAGATTAAGGTGCAGCCAAAAGCCAGCAAGTACTCAGACTGACTGAAGATTTCCTGAATCAATTTGATGAATTAAAAGATTTTTATTTCAATTTTACACCAAAATGATTGCTGAAAACAATAGGTAAGTACCAAATAAATATAAAACAAGCAAGTTAAGTAAGAAATAGTTGCAGATCAGAAGGAAGAGTGGCTGGGAGCTGTGCCACTTATTTGGTAGGAGGTGGGTTGCAATATGGGTTTTCCCCTGAGTTTTTTTAAAAAAGCAGTTTTGGGGAAGAATCTTGAATACTGTAATTATAAAAGCTGGCATGGGAAGCTGCATATGGTCTATGGGCTGCACAATGCTCACCCTTGCTTTAGTGTTTTCCTGCTAAAAAATTATGTTAACATGAGAGAGAGAGAGAGAGAGAGAGGCTAAAAAACACCTTGCTAAAAATTATATTAACATTAGAGAGAGAGAGAGAGAGAGAGAGAAATTGTGAACCATTTGCCACGTGTTCAATGTTAGTCTTGTTTCTGTCTGCTCATTTTGCAAACCTGGCCCACTTTGGCTTTCCCCTTTTCCCATGGCTGGAATGCAGCACTCGTATGATTAGACCGAGGTAATGGAGAAATGAAAAAAGTCTGCCACTCACAACGTACAATAATACATGTCCACACGTGTGCACCACAAACAATGCTATCCAGTTCCCCCTTTAAATTGGGAAAGAAGTCCACCAAGCCTACCTTACGTTTCCTTCTCGTTTTGGGGACAACCTTTTCTGTTGGTGCATCAGGGACTATGTTATGTTGCATACTGACCACTTCTTTAATGCCAGCATTAATGAGCGGTGGATCTTCAGGCGAGCGTTGTGGAATTCTGGACAGAAGAGTCAAATCAATTTTGACCCAAAGTGCTCTTATTTCATCTGTGTCCTTCAGAGGAGACAGGAGTTCATTCCTGCCAAATGGTACAAGCGTGTAGAATTGTTCTTCCAGATCCTTTGCAATATCGTGAGTAGTCCTGGTGTTCACTGAACCAAACGTGCCACGGTCATTTCCTTTGCTGGCATTATTACTCCCAGAATCCTTCTGTTTCTGGTCACTTCCAGTGGGTGCTGAGATCACTGTTTGAGACTTGTGGAAAGGATATTCCTCTTGCTCAGACTGAGAATCTATATCTGAAGAAGTTGAAGAGGAGGATTCTGTCTCAATGAACTCCTTCGATTTGGGCGCTGTCTTACCTGCCCCTCTCGTACGCCTCTTTTCACAGGCACTGATGCATCGTGTTTCCTTTCTGTGCTCTCCTTTGCTGTTACAGGGCCTAGGTTTCGGTTGTTCACATAAGCTATTATTTTCCAAAAGTATATGGTCCAAGTCTAGATCATCAGCTGTATGGCTGTTTAGGTTATCACCACCAGAGGTCCTCTCTATCCTTCTGGGCTGTTTTTTACATGCTGTCCTTCTCAGAGGACCACTGTCTACAGAAACTGCAGCTGTTACAGAGGGTGTTTTTTGCCTTCCACCTCTGTGGCCTGCAGCTTTATTAGCTGTTCTTGGACTCAATTCCTCTTTGCTGGGATTCTTAACCTCTTTCTCTCGGAGACTGGTTAGGCATGCAGCTGGTATACTTTCACTGTCTTGCCCTTCATCTTTTACTTTGCTGTAATAGTGAAAGGTGTCCAGTCCATGGTGGTTCAAAATAGGTGCTTTATGAGGATTAACTTTATTTAACCATTTATCCAGCTGCCACTTGTTTGATGATGGCTGTTCAGGCTAGAAAACAGAGGTTTAAATCCCCATGTTATATTATATCTGACAAATTATTTACAGTTCCTAAAAGGTATTGCAGTATCTATAGATGGCCAAGCATATAAAACCACAATTTTATAACATTCCGCTCTACAAATCTTTCATAATATTATTATATTATACATGGTCAGCATACAAAATCCTCAATGGGAACGCTGAAGGACACTTGTTTAATGTAATAAAGAGAAGTTTAATAAATCAGATGAAAACCCCCTTTTTAAGAAATATGTTAAATATATGGAATAAATATAAAGAGAAGTTTTGTCCCTCAACTTCACCATTAAAATTAGTGACTGAAATAGAAAGTTTCCCTACAAATTTAAAGGGTTTAGTAGAACTGTTTAAGAATAAAAGGGTTGCAAGATTGAAGGACTGGATGAGCAAAATGAGATCAAAGGAGTTGATTACGTCTAAACTTCAAACTAATAAACTATCATGGTATAATCTTATTCAGTTAGACACCAGGACAAAGGATTGGTTGAAAACTAATGGCAAATGTAGAGAACTTACCAAGTACGAACAATTTCTGTCATCACATGAAGATATGTAAGTTACAATGTTCAAGGGAATACTAAGTAAAATGTATAATATAATTTTGGAACAAGAGGAAAAAGAATGGGGGACAGAAGGTTTGAAATTAATTTGAGAAAATGATTTAAAAATAGAAATTAAAATAGAGGATTGGATAAAAATGTGGAGGATGAGATTTTTAAGTTTAATGTTGACAAGAATAAAGGAATTTTTTTCAAAATCTGTTTAAGATGGTATTTGACTCCTGTAAAACTAAATATAATAAATCCAGCGTACTCCAAAGCATGTTGGAAATATGATGAGGAAATTGGTATGTATTTTCATATGTGGTGGGAATGCAAACTGGTTAAGAAATTTTGGGAATTGATTTTTAAGGAAATGTGCGATATATTTGGTAAAGATATTTATTTTAATGCTAAAATTGCTCTATTGTCAATTTTTGATGACACAGACTTGGATTATTACTCGAAAGAATTAATCACCAATTTTATGACAAGTGCTAGAATATTAATAGCTAGGTTTTGGAAAGACAAAAATGATATTAAAATAGAAGATTGGTATAGTGAAGTATGGGACATTGCATTAAACGATAAATTGACTATTGAATTCAAAATAAAAAGAGGGGAAATAAGTTCTAACAATTTTTATGATATTTGGGGTAAATTTGTGGAATTTGTGTTAGTGAAAGCAAGGGGAAAAGCCTCTAAAGAATACTATTCTATACAATTTTGGAGAGGTAGTCCGTAATTAAAATATTGTTAAATGGAGTCCCGTGGGTATGGGGTGCATGTTAGAATTTAGTTTATAATAAGAACTATTATTTGTATTTTTGTGGTTGTATATGTTTTTTTGTTTTGTTTTTGTATTAATTTTTTTTAAAAAAAGACAAAAATGTTGTGGCACCTTAAAGATTAACTGCTATATTTTAATATAAGCTTTCATGGGCAAGGCCTGAGGAAATGGACTTGTCCATGAAAGCTCACATTAAAACATAACAGTTAGTCTTTGAATTGCCACAATGTTTTTGTCTTCTTTATTATTATTTTTTGCCTGATGAGTCATCATGGGCACTAACATTTAAGACAATTGTCTGCCATGATTGTGTCCTGAACCAACACAGTATTTCCATCAATACAGTAAAAATTCATTCACCAAGAAAAAGAGAAGCAGAGGGAATTTATGAAAGATATCAAAATAGTGGCAACACATAAAATTAACAGAATTTAACTTAAAAAAATAGCATTGTGTAGTCACTGGATTAATCACACTCTTCAGCTGAATCACACTAGTTATTTTGACATGTCAAAAAACCCTGTACAGTCAGATAGGCTGCTTTGTCAAGATATACCATTCCACTGTTCCTTTTAATTGCTATACTAGATAGTCTTACTGTAAGCTCATTCCATGTTTAATTTTTTTTAACATACACATTGGGAGCTAAAGAAATCATACTTCCCCATGCAACCACATAGTACATTTCTGGTATGTACTGTATATGAAATTGGATATAAGGCACACAGACACGGGCCCAACAGTTAAAAGGTGTCTGATGGTTCGGCAAAGATTACCTCATCTGCATTAGATGATAGGTGAATAGCTCTGAAGCCATGCCTGTTACAATATAATGTATGTAATAGTGACAGAGACAGACTGAATAGCTCTGAAGCCATGCTTGTTATAATGTATGTAATAGTGACAGAGACAGAAAGGAAAATATGCACCCATGGAAGCAAAATCCCTGATCAGGTAAGCTGATGGGATGGCATAGAGAGCTTCATGTCGGAAGCTTAACATTTTTGAGGTCTATGTTATGTGGGAGAAATTTCACTGAGATTAAAATGCCCCATAGGACAGGCTGAGGTGAGGTCTTGGGATAATGGAAAAGTGTATTGTGAGCTTGGAAGAGTTACTTCTAGGATTACAACTCCTAGCATTCCCAAGCCACCATGATAACACCTCCAAATTCTGGTAAGGATAACACAAGAAAGGTGTAGAGCAGTGGTCTCCAACCTTGGGCCTCCAGATGTTCTTGGACTTCAGCTCCCAGAAATCCTAGCCAGCAGGGGTGATGGTGAAGGCTTCTGGGAGTTGTAGTCCAAGAACATCTGGAGGCCCAAGGTTGGGGACCACTGGTGTAGAGGAACGTTAAAGAGAGCTAGGTTGAGAGTGAGGCAATGTAAGAGCAATGCAATATTGACAGGGAGGGGACCAGAGCAGAGATGGGGTACAGATGGCCCTCCAGATGGTTTTGAACTGCTGTTGTTATGTGCCATTAACTTGCCTCTGACTTGTGGAAATCCCGAGTTTCTGAGGTACAGTATTTGAATTGTTCAAGGAATGATTTACCATTGCCAATTTCCAGTGAGTTTCCATGGCTGACGAGTGAACTGAACTCAGTTCTCCTGAGTTCTAGTCTGTCAGTCTACCTGCCATACCAAATTGACTTTCAGTGATTTCGGACTGCAGTTCCCATTATAACTTTGTCACTAACAGTGCTGTCTAAGGCCAATGAAAGTCTCAGTCCAGCAATACCTGGAAGGCCAAGTAATCCTCCTGAAATATGAAGAAAAGGCCAAGGCGATCAAGCGATCAATCAATCAAAGAAGGAAGGAACAAAACAAAAGTGGGATAAAAATAGGAGGCAGACCTGTCAGGCACATCAGAATCAAACCCAGAAACCATGGAGGGGGCAATTGCTCACTGCAGCACTGGCTGTGCTGACCGGTTGAGGGAATTACAGGCAATTCCAGTTTCATAGCAAAACTCATAACCTTCCTGAGCTGAGAAGTCAGGTGGTTATAAACCAGGGATGGGCAAAATGAGGTCCATGGGCCACGTGTATCCTCCAGGAGGGCAAATGCAGCCCAAACATCTCTAGACCTTCCTGGACTTCCAAATAAATAATTTAAAAAGTCCTTTAAACACACATCTCTTCCCTCTAGAGGCCCTGGGGGTGCACAGTTTGCTCTGCTAGAGAACCCCACTGCATTCCCCTAAACTACACCAGAAAATTAGATGTCCTTCTCCAAACTACAAATCTCAGTTGTATTGAAGTACTATAATTGTGTAGTGCACAATCCTCTCTCAGGCAACCAGTGGGCCATCTGTTTTCCATGATACTTGACAGCATTAGATGGTACTCCCTGGGGCTAATCCAAGTGGTATTTCCATCACCAGTAGGATTTAATGAGTGTAAAGATTGTCCAGCCTATGTAACACTGACAATGCCCACTGACAATTTGGGCCAAAAAGTGAGACAACTGCTTAAGACAGCAGATGCCTGGGGACCAGGATCCTAGTTATTCTTACTGGCTTGCCAGCTAATCTCCTCTGTTCGAAGACGGAGTGTTGCATGTCAAACAACCTGTCTTGGACCCCATACAATAACCTGAGACATCAGGTGTGGTGGAGGAGGCTGTTTTCTTGCCTGTACTGAGGCGGTGTCCAGCTCCCAAACTGTGGTGTAAGGAGGATGCAATAACTGTTCCTTTGCCTCAGGCAGCCTCAGCACATAAGCTGACATCTGGAAAATGCCTTTAGAGTGTTCTATTTTAAAATGTTGTAATTTAGGGTCTTTGTGTTCCAGGCAGATGCAGGGGTAGCTTGTGGACCAAGAGGTGAAGGACACCCCCCTTTTAAATGTGTGTGGAGTCTCTCTCCCCAAATCTGGTCACAATCTGCCTATGATTAGAGGTGATTTCAGCTCCTGTCTCTTTTTTTTTTAATCTAATAGGATGAAGAACTGGAAAGAATGGCTGTAATTAAAAAAACCCTTATTTTCTCACAGCTATATCTCAGTACCATGTGGCACCGTCATCCTGAAAAACATTTAACTCATTAAGATGTCACATAAAACCTCTCTGACTTTACACGTTACTTGGATGAAAATTCCACTGATTGGGAAATTACTATTTTGCCTACTCCATTTTAATGAGGGTGAAAGGCGAAGAAGCCCTTACCTCTGGGCTGGAATAGTGTGATGGCTTGTTGCTGTCACTCTCGGCAGAACTGCTTTCACTCTCTGAATCTGATTCTGAGCTGCTCTCAGATTCGCTGGAACTGCTGCTTGAGCACTTACTGGAGGCCCCCAAGATTCTGCAGCTAGACTGCTGCACGGCAGTGCTGCCAAACCCACAAGCACACACATACACAGAGAGAGACAGAAAGACAGACAGACGGAAAGACAGAGAACATATTGTAAATTAAAGCAAATTTGTTTCATTGTCTTTGACAGCAAATGCAGGTGGTACATTTTTTTTTCTGAAAAGCCAAGAAAGGGTGACAGACAAACAAGGTTCGGAGGGACCCTCATATCTGTACAAGTCCAAAATTAAGCAGTCACTCCCCCAACCTCTCCATAAAACAAATGAGGACTGGGCATGCTTAATAGCTGTAGAAGGTTGAGAAGCCATTGGAAAAGAGAAGCCAAAAATGGATGGAGGTGGCCTGGCCTGGCCTGATTGGAGCCAATGGCTGCCTGGAACTCTGAGAAGAAGCATTTCTGTTTGATGGAAGCGCACCCTGTAAGATTTTGCCACAAGTCTCACCTCTCTTGCTGTATTTAAAAAGCTGTCAGTCATAGTTATGCATGTATAGCAGAAATAACACGACAACCTAAAATTATATTATTCTAAGGAAAATGCATCACAAATTGTTAGCAGCACAAATATTTGATTATCAGATTATCTTCTGCATATTTAAGGGAGCTCAACATTTTTGAGTTTTGCAGAATTCACTCCAAAGTAGACATCAGGAAATGATGCCTAATGGAAAGGAGATCATCTTAAACCTGTGAAAAATACCATCCCTTCCTAAAAAAAGTCCCCAAAAGTGATGGTGCAATCTGCTGATGAAAAAATAATGGCATAATTACCAAATGGACTAAATACTTCCTCATGTCTTTTTGGGTTAATTGGTGTTTGGCAATCAGGAACTACTTCGCCTGATTTAAAATTTCCTGAACAAATTTAAGTCAATTAAGATCAACATCAAACAAACCCCAGTTTTACATAAAAACAAATACTATAAACAATAGTTAATAAAAGTTAATAAGTTTAAACAATGGTATAAATTTACAAATTGTTACAGATGAATTGGGAAAGCCAGTAGGAGCAGTTCCACTTTTTTTAAGCATTGGGTAATGCTGTAGGTTGTTTTTTTTTATGGGTTCTTAGAAAAAACAATATTGGGGGGTCTTTGGATAGCATAGTACAGTAATTGGCTGTAGGGGGGTGGCTCTACATGTTACATTATATCCATGCCAGTCCTGAAAGGAGTTTAGGAAAGGTGACCATGATTCAGCTAAAAGTGGTGTCGAACTGTGGCCCTCCAGATGTTCTTGGACTTCAACTCCCATAAGCCTTCACCACCACCTCTGCTGGCCAGGATTTCTGGGAGTTGAAGGCCAAGAACATCTGGAGGGCCACAGTTCGACACCACTGAGAAATGGTAACATTTCATATCAGGGGAATGACTTTCTGTAGAGTACATGCTTTGCATGCTGAAGGTCCAAGATTCTGATGGAACTGGCTGTGTGAGTGTGTGTGTGTGTGTGTGGGGGGGGTTTGTGATTATTTTTTTCAGCCGGAACTGATTAATGAGATTTCAATGTATTCCTATGGGAAATGGTGCTTTGATTTACGACCAGTTCAAGTTACACCCATCTTCTGGAATGGATTATGGTTGTAAATCGAGGCACCACTGTATTGACCTGAAACAGTTGCTCTATTCATACAATAAATAAATGAGTCAATGTCCTCTTTTTTAAAATGTTGGCAACTAGCGTTCATCAGACCAGAATGGTAAGCATTGTAGCTGCTGTGAGCACATGTTCATAACTGGAATACTTTAAAGCCTTCCTCAGTCTTGATGAGAAACTGCCCTTTTCAACTGATAGATACATTTTAACTGAGCTATTTCCACAGTCTATCTGTGAAGTTCTTATTTTTACTGAGAACCCATGCTGTCCTTTTCATTGTTCTTCCTCTTCCACATATGGAGGAGGATGGTGAATGGGGTAGACACAGCAAGGAATCTCATAGCTTGCTTCTTTCTTTGTACATATTGGAAGCAGCACAGTACAGTTATTATCAGATACTTTTTGCCCAGGAACATGCAACTTCAAGAGCATTTGCAGCAGCTAATATTGAGTCTTCCATAATATACAGTATATCACAGAAGTGACTACACCCCCTCACATTTTATAAATGTTTTAGTTTATCTTTTCATGTGACAACACGGAAGAAATAACACTTGGCTACAATGTAAAGCAGTGAGTATACAGCTTGTATAACAGTGTAAATGTGCTGTCCCCGCAACACACAGCCATTAATGTCTAAACTGCGAGCAACAAAAGTGAGTACGCCCCTAAGTGACAATGTCCAAATTTTCCCTCCCTGGTGTCATGAAACCCTTTAGTGTCACAAGTCTCAGGTGT